AGAACTCTAAAATAATTTATTATATTTAAAACATAAGTGACCTACCAAGTAAATTCCATATAATGGAAAGGTTCTTCTGTGAGGTATTACTAACTTAAAAAGAGGTGGACTGATTTAGACTATCTCTAAAACTGACTCATCTGGTGGATAAACCCTAACACACAGATTTGTGTTGAAAGGAATGTACTTAATTTTATGTGAATGTGTAATTGGCAATGATTCAGATTTTTCACGAAAATGAAATCAAATTAACTCAAACCTAGGAACTGCTCTCTCCCTCTGGCTTGGATCCCTTGCAACTTTTGCCTTCAAAGTGTTGGCTCTGAAATTTTATTTTTCCTCTCTGAGAAATGTGATGGGAATGTGTATTATGCAATCGGTTTCTTTGCAGATCACACTCTATCTCTCACAGGCAACAAGGAAATTATACTTCAGGGTTTATTTTTAATTAAATGCTGTAGTTGAATATTAGCTTTTACAAAGGTCTTGAACAAAGACCAATGTTTTCTGTTGTAGCTTCACCTTAATTTTAAAAGATTGATTAAAATGTATTTTTACTGTTTAAAATAAATACAGAAATAGCTCAGTCCAATAAATTTAAAGTGATGCAAGTTCTTGCATTCACAAAATATAATAAGTATACCATAAGTGCTGGTTTTGTTTATGATGTCCTTTTTACTTCTCATCAGACACGCAATTAATAACTGACAAAATATATCCAATAGAAAAGGTCCTAGGAGTCGTAAGTAGAGAAGGATTTCTCTGGGGTATTCTAGGAATGATTGAGGGTTCTTGCTTTGTTTTGTCTTTTTCAAGTGCCAATTCAATTCAAGGAAAAAAAAAAGACGCTATTGAGAGACTAGATTAAAGGAGGAAACTCCTTCTGAGGGTTCTCTTAGATAGAGAAGGACTGATGATCACTCACAGTATAGGATTTTTCCCATCACTCTTGTGGAAATCTTGCTAGGTTAGTACCACTTTGTGTGCTTGGGCTGAAAAAAACCCAAACAGTTATTCTAAAAGGTGCTGCTGTCTGATAAATTCACAGAGAAATAACTGTGAAAAATAATAATAATAATGTTGTGGATTATCTGTAATGGTTTCTTTAATAAAGGGCTTTGAGATTTAGTGACAAAAAAATTGCTAACTTGCCAAGATGACCATTCCAGTCCATAAAACCAGTTCATAATGGGTTCTTTTCCAGGTGCCAATAAAGTAGGCTGTAATAGGGGTGGGTACCACAACCATGCAGCATACTTGCAAGAATGGACTTGCAAACTGATGATGTCCTAATATTAATTGTTTATACTAGTCTTAACTTTTAGAATTTTTGAACTACAAGGGGAAACCTCTCCTTGCTTTATCTCCTCTTCCTTCATAAATTGAAAGTTGTTTTGAGTATCTTTGCTGCTTTTCTATTCAAGGTCATAATCTCTTCTTGTTTTTACTTACTCCACAAAACTGCAATTAACTAA